ACTCTCATTGAAACGAATCCATTGAAATATGAGTGAAAATAAAAAAAGAAATCAAAGATAAATTAGCCCAAAAAGAATTGAATTCAACTGTGGAATAATTTAAATAAACAATAAGAGAACTTTGATGAGATAATTCCTAATGAAACAAGAAAATCGTTGCATTCCTTAACGGTCAGTCTCCAATGCCTGAGAAGACTGTCCAGGGGACCTTCCTCCTATTTCAGTTTCAGTCCCATCTTCGGACCTAACTTGTAGAAGCAGATAAAAGACATAACAACTAAAAGTCATTTACTCTCAATTCCCTCCCCGATTTCAGTCTATGAAATAAAGTAGAATCCGAAAACAATTGCAAACAAATCAGAAAACACAAGATAACTGCAAACAAACAAAATCAAATTCGCACCTATTAATTGCCAAAAAAAACAGGGCGAATTTAATCGCACCTACCAAAAATGAATAATGAAAATCTCTTGAATGCAATTCAAAGATGGAAGAGAAAACAAGACTAACCTTGAGTGTACAACCACCCGTATGTAAGAGATAGGGATGAAATGAACATTACAATTTCGCTGATAACCAAAACGATACGCAACGGCCTAGGGCGCAAGGGGAACCACACAGAGCACATGCTTCAACAGTGAAGCTAACGGAAGAGCAATGGGTTTCGACTTCAAGGGAAGGGGAAGACTGGAGACGGAGGGCGGAGGCTATGAACAGAAAGAAAGACGGGAGCCTGACTTAACGGAAAATGGGCGGAATCTTGAGACGGCCGTTCAGGTCACTCTTTATATAAGTAGGAGATGAAGTGTTTTACATGTGGTCGTGTGGATCACGGATCACTACCTCAGAGATTGAAGAGGAGAGCATAATCATTGACTTGCACTATTGGAACTATGAAATTAAATTGTGGATGCAACACCTATTGTGGCTGTAATATTGTGAGTACGGACTGCATCACAACCGCATGAATTTGACACTTCGCAATAGCGGTAATTTATGAAGTCATGGAAAAATTTGGTAAGTCATGGAGCTAAAACGATTGGACCCCTTGGATCACAAATCGAATTAGCTCAATTTTGCCGACATAGGATAGTGTTTTTGTATTCCATGCTTTTAAAAATCATTGATCACATCGAGTAAGGCCGTAAGGGTGCATATTGTGCAACCGAAATCTTGAGTGGAGCAAGCGTTATTTCAAGGTATCTTACCGGAAATGCACCGTGCCCATAATCAACTATATTCAAAATGTTTTGAAGTTCTTGGTCCCTCACCCCACCCACGAAAATATTGGATTTTCCGTGGTTCACCCTTAGGCCCGATACGTCCCCAAAGTCTTTGAGAGCGTTGACCAATATTTCTACGGAATATGTGTCACCTCTTGAAAAGAGCATAAGGTCATCCGCGTAGGCCAAGTGGGTGATGCCCAAGAAGAGTATTGGGGGTGGAAAAATTGAAGTTATCCCCTTTGGCTCCCAACGTCTATCCTCTTTGGACGGAATGGCGCGGCCGCTGGCATGGGACCTAGACAGTCTGCCAGTTTTGTAGTTGGCAGGGGGCGTTCGGTCCCTCCTCCTAATCTCCTCTTCCAGGGCCGCATGTCTCCTGGCTAGGGGTGTGCACGGGTCGGGTTCGGGCGGGTCGGGTTTGCGAACCCTAAACCCTTTCGGGTTTTTTAATTTAAATACTAGGTCCGACCCTTTGATATTTCAAATCGGGTATTTCGGATATTTTTAAGTCGGATATTATCGGATATCGGGTCGGGTTTCGGATATTTCGGTTATATTAAAAAAAATGATAATTGGATAATTAAAGTGTTTTAATGCCACTTTGACAAAAATTGTACACACTAGTGCACGAAACTTCCAAATTACACAAATAATTTAACACAAATTGCACAAATAATTGAACACAATTATTTATTTAACATATTCAAAGTACACACTACACAATTTAATATATTTCGGATATTTTGGTTATATCAAAACACATTATAATTGGATAGTTAAAGTGTTGGAATGCTACTTTAACAAAAATTGTACACACTAGTTCACTACACATTCAATTTACACAAATAATTTAATACAAATTGCACAAATAATTTCACAAATAATTGAACACAAGTATTAATTTAAATATTCAAAGTACACACTAACATATATTTCGGATATTCGGGCGGGTCGGGTTGGGATTTCACAAACCCTACCCGCCACCCAGTCTAGGCCCAATACTAATCGGATTTTCGGTTTCGGGTTTTTCGGGTCGGATATCCACTTCGGTTCGGATAATATCCGAAAAAATATCGGGTTTTTCGGGTCGGATCGGGTTTTGCTCAGCCCTACTCCTGGCCCTCTCCAGCACATCCGGGTAGCTGGTACCCGGACTCTTCTTTAGCTCTCTGAACAGTTCTCCTGTCAAGAGAGCATCTCTAAATAGGAGGATGACTATCTCATCCGTCATGCCGGTCACCTTCAGGGTTTCTCCCCTCCATCTGGTCAGGAAGTCATTGATGGACTCCTTTGGCCCCTGCCTCACACTGGTCAGGTAGCCAAAATGCAACTTCGGGGTGGTGCTGGCAGCGAACTGTGCTAAAAATAGCGTGGACAGTTCTGCGAAGCTCCCGATCGATCCGGGCTGTAGTGTCCCGAACCATTTCTGGGCTGGTCCCCGAAGGGTGCTGAAGAACAGTCTGCAGATTGCAGCATCAGTGGCCCCTAAAAGCATGAGGCCACCTTGGTAACTTCTCAAATGTACATGGGGGTCTCCCACCCCATCATATGTAAGCCCGGCCGGGGGCCGTTAGTCTCTCAAGATTTCTGCACTCATGATCTCCCTTGTGAAGGGAGAAGTGATCCCAACCCGTGCTGGCGGGGTTTGCTGGGGCGTCCGGTTCATCAGCTCTCTGAGCTCAGTCATTTGCCTCCTCATTCCGGCAATTTCTTCGTCCTGGGCCGTTCGGGGAGCTTGGGGCATCCTTGCCTCCACGAATGCTGGCACCCTGTCCGGGGGAGGGGCGGCGGTGTTTGCCCTCCTCTGAATGAAGCGCTCCCCATCCCTCTCCACATACTGAAAATTTTGCCCAACGGGGTCTATCATGGGGTAGCTTCCCAATACTGGGCCTCGTTCCGAGGTACGAACAGGGTTTGGTTGGCCGGTGTCTGTTGTGCGTGCCTAGGGGCGTGGGCCCTCCACTGGTTCCCCCGGTGCTCCTGGGAATGTACTGAGGCAGTGGTGGTCTCAGTATTTTCCCTTCATCGAAGGATGGCATAGGACGGATAGGGGAGAATTGCTCACGAGTGTCATCGGTATATCCTCCTCCTTGTTCCTGTTCGTTCGCCATGCGCTGCATGGCCTCTGCCATCTCCCTCATTAATTGAGAGTTTCTCCTCACATCAAGTGGGATGATGCTCTCGAACTCCTGGGTGGCACTACCACTGGCATGTCCCTGCATGGACCACCCCTCGGAGGATCCATTGCCTCTTCGGCCTTTGGTAGCAGAACTCGGTGTCGTTGAAGTGATTCTAGCCATTTTAAAGAAAAATGGTACTTAGATCAAAGGTTTTGCTTGGGATTTTTGTTCGGGTTTCCCACAGACGGCGCCAATGTTGGGGTTTAATCCCGAAGATCCGAAAGCCCAACACAAGCTTTGGATATTGTAAGGATGTTGGGGTGATTTGGAAAGTGTATAAAATATAAAATAGTAAAAGATTATTCACCTCATGAGCTAACTTGTATTCAGTAATGTTGCGATTACCCCGAACGGTAGGTGAGTACAAGAATAGGAGAGATAATTCTACTTGTTAAGCTCTGAGTATTAAAATGTTAACCCTTTACAATGTTCTTAATGCATGTATTTATACTAAAAAATGGGGATGGGAAAGCTAGACACGAGGCTGCATCCGATTGGTTGTGACCCCTGCCACGTATGCACTCATGTCTCCACTTGTTGTTGTCATGCTTTAGCATTAAATGCGGCCTCCACTTGCTGACCACCCGTTCGGGTAGGGCGTTCGGTGTGCGGGACCCCGTCATGGGTGTTTAGGTGTAATTGCTACCTGAAATACTCCAAGTATAAGAATTGTGCCGAATGCCGAACGGGTCTAGACTGCTTTGGGCCTTATGTTTCCTCCTGGCTTCCTCATACTCCGGGTCGGGGATATTGGGCCTGGACCCAATATCCCAACACCTTTCTTTTGATAATTTAAATACATAGCATATAGCATAGTTGTGTCCTGTATTATATAAATACAGGACATTAATTTACTACACCTATTTAAACTTGTACATACACCCAATTATTTCTTAATTATTTTCATCCCAATTCCGTTGATTGCTCAATTATGAACTGTGAGTAGTTTAAATTTTGAATTTGGGATTGATGGAGGGTTAATTATGATCTAGTGTTAATTTCTTGATTGATTAATTGCATGATCTTTATTTTAAATTGTTTTTAAATAATTTAACTCGTATCTTTTGTAACCTGGAACCGTCGCTAGGATTATAATTGCACTTAGAGTAAACTAAGAGATATCTAATTTATTCTGGGACACTTTCACACACACACTTAATCGTTCGCTAAGAGATTAGTAACGGTTAAGGGTTGTACACTCGCTTGTTTTGACAATAATTTAGAAATATGTCGCATGAGAGATCAGTCTGGTTCCCTAAATTATTGTATTCTACGCCATGAGAGCGATAATAACTTAGTATTGACCAGTGTTGTTCAATTTAATAATTTTCATGTAATTAAGCGTGATCAGCACCAAAATCTGATTACCTCAGAATCAATCCATGTTCCCTACAGTCATTAATTATAAAAACCCTTTAAATTAACTGTTCATTAGTATTTTAATTAAAAAAATCTCTCACAATAACATTTTTTAAATCGCTGAATTTACTTAATTCCTGGTTCATTTACTTAATCACACTAAAACCGTATATTACTACCTTTTTTAAAGGGCAAGAAAACAAACTAGAATTCACGCAAGTGATCGACCAACGGACATGTATATAACCACACAATTGACATCTCGAGCCTAAAGCTGCCCAACATTTCTATCCACACAAGAGACACAACTATATTCACCTACATATCTCTAAGCCATATCTAAAATCCCGGTAAATTTGAGAACATGTCAGCAACGGTTGTTGCCGCCGGCACCTCTTCCGCCGCATTCTCCAGAGGCACATCAGTCAGCAAACCCGCTTCCTACATTCCTCACTGCCAGGTGATCTCCCATTTTCCTGACCTTTATTTGCTTCTTGTATCACTATTCTCTCAGGTTTCTTATCCTGATGATCACATATTTGGTAGAAAACTAGTTTCCAAGGGCTATCATTTCATGATTACAAAAGGGATATCTCGAATTTGGTCTTGGTTGGTACTGGTAGTTTGAGCTTATCAAGAAGAAAAAAAGTAAGAGGCCTTGAGATTAATGCAAGAACTGCTGCCAAGAACATTGAGGCTGAAGTTGATAAGCCTTTGGGGCTCACTCTTGGTCAAAAATCTGGTGGTGGAGTTGTCATCACTGTAAGTAATTCCTCATTCTTGCTGCCATCTCATGAAGCATAAAGGTGAAATTTGGTCCTGATAAGGTTTAAGAGCTACCAGTTTAGGAATCTTGGCAAATTCCAACATAGCCATCATATTTCTTAGCTAGGTCAAGTCATTCACATTGATAGAAAAATCAAAATAACATTAATAAAATGAACTCATGAACTTAAATGTTCCAAGATTTGTAAATTTTGACAAACTACCAAGCAGGTTAAGTCACCACATTGATAAAACATAAAAGTGCAATTTACACAAGTATAAGCGGTCATGAAAAGCTGGCTGATATTAATGTGGAACGGACTTTTTAGGTTGAACTGTAATTTTGTAAGTAGTAAGAATGGAAGGTTAAAGGTGAATGGTTTATGAGGTTTATGATACAGGCGGTAGAAAATGGTGGAAATGCTGCCAAAGCAGGGCTTAAAGCTGGGGACCAGGTGCTCTACACCAGCAGCTTTTTCGGGGATGAACTTTGGCCCGCGGACAAGCTCGGATTTACAAAGACAGCAATCCAGGCTAATCCCAATTCTGTATACTTCGTCGTTAGCAGGTCAGGACCCAACTCTATCCACTCTGCTTAGCCTTTGGCATTAAGTTGATTATGGGCATTGGAATACATAGGACAACTTGAAATTTGGGGATTGACTATGAGTAGACTTGTGATAGAAGCGTTTTACATACTATGGCATTGATTAAGTCTTGGGGCCTCAAAACGGTTTTAAGGGTGATGTACCATTACTACATAGTTCAAATTCGAAATGGCTATTAGTGTTTCTTTCTGTTTAGATATGACTGATAAGTATATGACTGAATTGAAATTAATGAATAAAAAACATGTATTTTGATACGCAATGGCATTAGGTATTAATGTATTATCATAGTGGCGATAGTGACCAAACTAATGCTCAAATCTGTATTGCAGTGACCATGGTGAAGTTTTTGCATTGCCTATGGTGACCATGTATTCATATTTTTTTTCATGAGCTTTATTTTAGTAATATTATGGGAAAAGCTTCATAATATAAACAACCTATGTGAAGTCCAATATAAGTGTTGTTGTTGACATAAAGCATTGTTGATTTGTTGAGCATGGTATGTCCTTTGAATTCTTAATTCTAACAGTTAGCTTAAACATTCAGTCGAGATTTATCACACCCTTCAGTTCTTTATCATATATAACTAGAGATGGCTGAGATGTGCACATAATTATAATATCAGCTAAGACATTATCTTCACTTTGATTTTATTTAGGACCTAACTTTGGTGCAGGGGAGCTGAAGTAGATGTTAAGAGATTGAATAAGCGACCGGCCCCTCCTCGCTTTGGAAGGAAGTTAACTGAAGCTCAAAAGGTAAGTTTGGCACTTCAGTCTGTATCTTTCGTTTCCTTAATTCTGTGCTCAATGAATCCGACAATCCATTCCTTTTTCTTCTTTGTGTTTTTCTCTGTTTATGGTTGATTTCCTTAGGCTCGAGCAACACATATATGCCTTGATTGTGGATACATCTACACAATGCAAAAGCCTTTCGAAGAGCAGGCAAGCCTCCCTTACTCTGTCTACTCTTGTTGTCTTGATTTCTAGGGATCATTTGGAAAGTATAGGAGAAATATGGAGGGAAAGAAAATAAATGATAAGAAATGTAAACACGTGTTAGAATTTCAAAAAATATCATCCATATTTCACTTTGCATTTCCTGAAGAGTTCCAAATTCTTGTGCATTATCTTTCCTTTTGCATGACATGTTAAACCATTTCACATCATCAACCAAATATAAGGCATTAAACTAGTTCTCCCATTTTCTTTAACTAGCCAAGAATAATGCTCGTGTTTACAAAAATTGAACTGTCGAAACAAAACCTTCCCACCTAGCATGTATGTTTTCTAATATGGTTTTGGTTGTCATCTTGTTCCCCTCTACAGCCGGAGGGCTACACATGTCCTCAGTGCAGAGCGCCTAAGAAGAGGTTTGTAAGATATGATGTGAACACCGGAAAACCCATCGGTGGGGGGCTGCCTCCCATCGGAGTCATCATTGGGCTTTTAGCTGGGATTGGTGGAATCGGAGCTTTACTAGTGTATGGACTTCAATGAAAGCTAAAAAAAAATTGAGAACAAACCTAGGAAGCACGGAAACTCTCCATGGCTCACGTTTCCACGTTTCGGAAACTCGGAAGCGTTTCGGAAACCCAGAAACTTCAAATTCCCGTTTCGGGGCCGTTTCCGTAATTAAGAAAAATTTGGAAACCCGTTTTAATTTACTACGTTTCGGAAACCTCAGATTCCATTTTTTTTTTCTTTTTCAAAAGATTCTGTGGTGGAAAATAATTTTTTATAGTGAATTTTTGTGGTATTTCTCAGTGGCAACACTTGTTACATTTCGTAACGCAATGTAGTGTTAGAAATGTATTACTCCGTACATTTTATGTTTAATTATGTACTAATATGAAATCATATCTAAATTCGAACATGTAGAGTGATTTTATTATTTGGTTACTAAACAAATTATATTAAAAAAACATGTGCATATGGAAAAACTTGTGTACATATATTAAAAAATATTTATAAATATATCCTTATATTTTATAATATTTACGCGTTTCCCCCATGTTTCGTGTCATATATTTTTTAGAAATTACGTTTCTCGCGTTTTCCGTTTCCCGTTTACGTGCTACTTAGGAACAAACCAAGTAAAAAACACATCATCTTCTCTCAATGGTATGTTCTTATTAGATATGCATGCTGCAAAGGGCCAGTTCCTATTTCCTAACTGAGTTGGAACTGGCAATCAGAAATACAAATATCTGAAGGGATGTTATCTTACTAAGATGTATATCATACAAACGTGCAAAGTAATTTTATTTCAATGTAATTGGATTATATTGTGTAAAGTTAATTACTACTCCGTACTTCGTCTCACGATATTCGGGAAATAAGAAAATGAATGCATATCAAACAAACAAGCCGTTTGGCAGCACTGTTTTTTGGCTTATCAGTCAACTTTTTCACCAAACACGTAACTTTTGCTTTAGCGCGCTGAATTGTGTAATAAGCAGAAAAAGTAAGGTTGGAGTTACTTTTGTGACTGTATTGGCTGAAGTTACTGTAGACGATCATTTTAACTATTTTTACATATAATTTTTTATTTATTTTATTAATAAAATATATTTTAAAAATATTTTTTTTCCTAAATCAGCAGAATCAGCCAATGCAGCCACTTCAGCCAGAACTTCATAAATTTCAACAGAATCAGCAAAACAGCCGATTTTTGTGCTACCAAACGGGCTCTAAGTGTAATTATGTGGCTGATAATCATTTTTGTACATTATGAATAAGCTTGAACAGGACAAGTATTATCAAATGTGGTTTTATGCCTAGTATGTTTGCGAAAACTTATAAAAAAAAGTGATTTTCAGGCCATGTTTGGCACACAAAAGTCTCTACCTTCTAGCTTCTCTTTTCCTTAAAAAGGCCTTAAAAGACTCTAGTTGTATGTTTGACATGACATTTTTAAGAGCTTTTCAAAAATTAAAAGATCTTTTTTGAGATGCTACCGGGTGTAGCATCTGAGAAAAGCTCGTGACTTTTAGTATTAATTAGTCCTAATAGCTTGTATACCAAATCGAACTAAATCAAACAGTCAACTTTTTACCAAGCAGCTATCACCTTTTCTTTTTAAGATCTTTTCAGTCACTAAAAACTAACAGTTACTAAAAAGCTCACAAAAGTATCTTTTCAGCAAGTTGTGCCAAACATACCCTCAGCTTTTGGCTTAAAAAAGCTGAAATTTCTATTTAAATTAAACACCCAAAATAAGCTGAACTTTTGGCTTAAAAGATAAAAGTTCGAATCTGTTTTTTACTTTTTCTATTACACAAAAGGCATATATTTTACTTAACACTACCAATTTTTACTTTTCAAAATCAATTTTTCTCACACTATCAACTTTTAATATTAATCATTTTTTTTTCAAAATGACATTAAAAATGCTTTCTTAAGGCAGAAACATTTGCAAACATTAAAAATCACGTATGACCGTATGATGAACAAATTTTCTTGTTCAGTATGTTTCTTGTTTTTCCGAATCTGTATGAAAATCTCCAGATTAAATTTTTATTTATTTATACGTTTTTAATTGGTAACAATTTTGGGTAAACCATCAGTGTGTTAGACCTTTAGACCTTTGCTGGCTGCTGTGTTTGACAATTTACTCAAATAAATTGTTTTTTGGAAGAGATACTCAAATAAATTGTTATTCCTTAACATTTTTTTCTTACTTTACACATGTCAAATAACTATTTTTCCTTATTATTAAATCTGGTTTTCAAAACAATATCGACCCCCCTAAGTATAATGTTTTTCGATCCTCATCTCACTCACTCAAACAAATACGGAGTATATGCTAGTTGAATTTTTATTAGGGATGGACTGGGCCTGGCGAGCTGACCCAGGCTTGGCGGCCCGCCCCGGGCCTGATACGTACTGTTTGGGCTCGGCTCGGCCTAGTCGCGGAGCATACTCGAGCTGGTACCGAGGCACCGAGCTCCAATTTTCTAGCATCGGTACCGTCCGGGCCCGGCCCTTCCTAATTTTTATCACCCTAAATCAATCAGACTTTTATTCTTTACATCATATTCTTACTATAAATACATTTCAAGTAAATTAACGGTTTTACCATAAGTAATAAAAAACTAACATAAATACTTTAGACGAAGTACGGAGTATGATTTTTCTAAGGTTAAAGAGCAAACCTATCTCATCGTACACATACATGAACGACTCTAAGCGGAAATAGTACTAAGATCGTGTTGTAATCTTTAAAAAAAAAACAGCCCGCTTAAACTATATTTTCTAATTTCATTTTTGTATTCTATTCTATTTCTCAATACATGCAACAGTGTTATAAAAATATTTCACATCTAAACAATTCTATATATATGCCCTCTTAGACTCTTATAGTGAAACAAAATCAACCATGAATGGAGTTAATTGCTAATTGTTCTCCATTAAAGACAAAATTTAACTATATAACTCATGTACGTAGTAATATTTACCGGCCTTACTAGTGATAGATAGATTCTCTTAGTTGAGGATTTATTTAGTTTAACCATTTTTTAACATTCAATCAAAATCAGTTCTTTATCGTTAACTTTTTACATCTAAAAATAATGCATTATACAAAAATTCCTTTTTTTATACAAGCTAATAAAAACAATAGGTTTACACATTGTGTAATACACAGTACTCACACATAAGATTATATTTTCGTATTGCATATTGAGAATGAAAAAAATGATCAGAAGAGGTAGAAGGATTGAGTTGTATAATTTGCATTCTGTCAAAAAGTGTTTACTGCATGGTATGTGGTAGTAGTTATCGAAAAATGAATGAACTTTTCATAAAGAAAATAAGCTCGTCGAGAATAGGCTGGCGAAATTTGATTGACAAAAATATACATTTTGTCCCAATAAACAGGCTATCGATATTAGGCTCAGGGGCGGAACCAGCCTAGTGCCCGGAGGTAGGGATGGCAACGGGGCGGATCGGGGACGGTTTTACACATAACCACGCGTACCCGCCCCGTTTGGTAAATCCCCCTCCCCCATAATTGTCCCATTACCCAACGGGTATTTTTTTATCTAAACCATAACCGCCCTAGCGAGTATCGGGTATAAGGATGTTTTTACTTGGAGTGTAATTTGTCCCAGACCAATCCAGACCAGACCAGACTTAATTATAAAAATACAAAGAAATCAGACCAGACCAGTTCAGACCAGACCAGATCAGACCAGTAAATTACAATCCAAGTAAAAACATCCTAACCGGGGGTAACCGCAGGTAATCCCTTTATTAAATGAGCCATTGATATTTTAAATGAGCCATTGATTATTTTTAAGAATAATATTTTAAAAGGTGAAAAATGGCATCACCTAGCTAGACGACTCTAATCTAGACTCAAACGTCACTTTAAAGTTTCGTATATCTACAAGATGAGAAAGAAGACAACCTAAATTAATTTGAACATAAAATTACTTAATTTGAAAAATAATTAATCACGAAAAGATCAGATAATAATCAAACAAGATTAATTATTAAGATCTATTATGAACTTTCATTAATATATTATAGTTAGTACATCTATAATCCATATATATTCAATGAAAATAGAAAAATCTCATCTTTTATTAGTTGTTGGACAAATAATAGATAAAAATGTAATAAAAATATAACTAAAAATAAACGGGGCTGGTAATGGGGCGGACATGTATAAAACCGTAACCGCCCCGTTACCCATAAAAACAAAACGGGTATTCCCCGCCCCATCCCATTACCCGGTCAATGCGGTTTTCCTCATTTTGACCGGGGCGGTTCGGTGCTGGTATTCATCGGATCGGTCACAATTGTCATCTCTACCCGAAGGTGCTCGTGCCCCTGCAGTGATTTTCTTTTCTTTTTAATAATATGTGTGTGTGTTAGTATTTAATTAGTTGAGCCCCTGTAGCTCAATCCCAAAAACCCTTTACCTTAACCCTCCCTTGTGCCAGCCCAATCCCAAAAACTCTTGCTTGGGCAGCCCGCAGCCCAACTCCACAAAAGCCAAAACGCCAAGACCCCAAGTCCCAACTCAAGCGGTCAAGCCACTGCCCATGCGTAACTAAGTTCAAGCTACAACGACGGAAACTGAAAGTGAGTCGGCGTCCAAGGCTTCAAGCTACTGCGTTCAAGCTACAACGCCAACAAATCACAGCAGCGAGTAGGAACTAGAATAGCGAATAGCGACTGCGTCTCTACTCTCTAGACTCCTTGAGGCCTGGTAAGCCTTTAAATGTCTTAACCTATTTTTTTTATCATTTCATTTAAAAAAAATTATTTATTGAATTGTACGTATTTGTTTAATTCAAATAAAATGCTAATTGTTGAATACTTTTATTTGTGGAATTCAAATACAGTGTTGAAGTTTTTGGCAATTATGTTGTGATAACAGATAATCTCATTAAAATGTTAATTATATTGTAAATTTATAATTGTGTATTTATTGATTTAGTTAATGTTGTTAATTTGTTATAATGTAATTTATACAATTAGACTCATATTATTTCAATTGTAATTGGCCTGGGTTGTTTGACAAAATATCGCTATGTTACGATATTATACATCGAAACCTAAACAGCCAAGCATTGGTGGTTCTTCATCGAATAATTTAGTTTCTTCATCAGATAATGTCATTCCTAACAATGACAATAATGTTAAAAAAGCTCGAATAGAAGTTGAATTGTCTGATAATGACATTGTTGGTGATTTGCGCAACAAGATGGGAGAAGAATACTTGACAAATTGCTTAGTATGTTACATTGATAAAGATGTATTTGTTAAAATTGAGAATGAAGTCATTATGAAGCGAGTTCAGAGTATGGCACCTCAAAGACAAAGATTGACGCCTCTCAATGAATCTCCTTCATTTGACGCGTCAGGTTCTAATAAAATTAAGATACTCTTTAAGTAGTTGTTTTATTTAAATTTTATAGTTTTGTTTATT